TGTTTTGCCTAAGCAAAATGTTTGCGCTTCGGATTACCTTGGACTTTTTGTTTTGTTTTGTTTTATATATTTGGCAAAGTCCAGTTCCACGGCCAAGACAGCTGCCTGGGGCACAAAAACAATGTGCATTTAATGTAATGCGAATCTCTTTGAGGTGTACTTTTACCACTGATCCCTTGGCCTTTCCCTTGCCACACAGATGTCCTAGATAAATCGTTGCAAAACATGGGGCAACATTGTGCCAAAGGATACATGCAGTTGCCATTTTTGGCATAATCCTTAAGCAGTGCATGGCAGGGCAGTGTAGGAGTGAGTCAGCTCATTGAATTCCCTGAGAGTAAACGATATCTGGCAGAGCCGACCTTATTGCCGTTGCAGAAAGTAGATTATGGTGCAAACATTGTTGTCTAATGTGGCAGATCTTCAATGGAAAGTAGATCATCAGATCATCATCCAGTAGCGTATTGTGTTCAGTTCCAACAAAGCGGTTGAGTGGAGTGCAAATCGAAAATATTGAAGAAAAGGATATTGGTAGCAAAAATGAGATTTTGGAGGGAAATTTCAGTAGATATTTTAGATTTTGTGGTAAATGTAGGAGAGATAAGCGTGAATATATTTTACTTAATAATTATAATTATAATTATAATTAGTCTGCGAATTTTGTAAACTAATTTGGAAACCAGCCTAAGGGGCTTTTATTAGAATTCCTAACTCCAAAACTTCTATTAAATTTAGTTCCTTGAATTATATATATGTATGTACATATACATACATATATTGTTTCCAAGATTCTTTCATTTTGGTTTTATCAGAATTTATGACGTGTTTAATTGCTTGTAAGTAGATATGACTTACATTTATTAACAGTGCCCCTAAATTATACTTTAACAGTGCAATAATTTCCGATTAAAGCGCTATTTATATATATGTACATATGCCCAGACTGAAGACATTTCAAGGCCTTTCATGGGAGGCAAATTGTAATTGTTGTATGCCTGCCCAAACCTCCTACACTGCAAGCCAACGAGCCCCCAATGAATTTCCATATTTAGCACCCAAACACGACTTAGGCCAGACGACAGGGTTTAAACCATCAAGTCACGCCCTCAACAGGGGCCACACCCACCAAAAGCACGTCATCGTCGTCGGACTTATGGGGCGGCATGACTGAAATAAAACAGCAACAGAAGCAGAAGCAGAGAAATTCCAACAAGAAACCACATAAAAAGCGGCCCGTCCCGCGACTCACTCCGTCATGAATTACAATGCCTAAAATCGCTCATTAGGAACTAAAATTTGTAAACTTAAGGCGATAAAGGTCAGGAGGAGGAGGAGGAGGAGGAGGAATGGCGTCCGCCACCAATGGGCGAACAGAGAGACAGTCGCGCGAGTCGACATGGTGGAATGGAACAATGGTGGTAAAAATACGAGTACGAGTACGAAAGAAAGAAAGAAAGAGCGTGTGGAAATAATTTGGTTACAATTAAATAACAAAAGAATTTGTTTGGCAACTCTTGTGCGCTTTTTGGCCAACAAACGAATAATGGAGCAGGGCTACCACCTGCCACCTGTACTCCTGGCCCCCCCGCCTGGCGGTATTACAAAGCTACGTACTCCCCATCCATCCATCCATCCATACAGCAGGCCACATCCCCATTTCCAATCCCATTGTTCAATTGTTCAGGTGAGTATGTAGCTACAGCTGCCGCCTCGCTCCAGATTAAGCTGCGACTATAATTAACAGCGGAACGGAACAGAAAGAGTGTTAAAATGGGCGGAGAGGGGGGGAGTTATATGGAGGTATATGGACACACCGACTATTTACCATAACAATGGGCTGCGGCAGGGAAAACACCTTTAGCTGGCGGCACAACACTGCATGAAAATGAAAATGAAAAGAAAAAGAAAAACTTGTGACGTTCGCCTGACCATTCGGATCAGGTGTTAATGTCTGTGTTTATGGCCTAAGTGACTCGCGGGCTGCGAGTCTTATGTGATGTGTGTGCAATTATCGTCATTAGTAGTCTCCCCCCCCACCCCCCAGCCCACAGCCCACAGCCAACAGCCCATTCCATCCCCTGTGCTGAGCATTGTTCCATCTGTCGGTGCCGCTTTAGTTGCGGCTTGTTGTGTATCGATGTTGCATGCTATAATTTTGAATTCAGAAATGAATAAAATGATTTCTTCATGCCAGTCACAGTCAGTCATGTGCGTTGCACACACAACACACAACACACATCATAATCATAATCAACATCTTCGTCATCCACTACTACTACTACTATGCGGATGATCATCGGCCCTGCCCCGGTCTCGCCTCATCCAATTATTACAGTTTAGCCATGCCACAAGTCAAACAAAAGATCTCACTGCCGTCAGAGAGCCCGTCAGAGAGCCCGTCAGATGGCAGTGCAACTGCTCTCGGATGCTCGTTCGTATTCCCTGGTTATTCTTTAAAGGGCTGCCCGAAATTATACATTTCGAGTGTTTTTGCCACTGCCCCGAGGATGCAAGGTGTTAGTGTGTGGGTTGTCTTTGAAATTGGGAAGGCTGGGGATGGTACGATTCGAATATTTCCACGGGATACATTCTAAATTATTCCGTTGGATGCCATTTAAACACTTTAGAACATTAACTACGACTGGTCTAACCCGCTAATCAGCATTCACTCACTTCCCGAGCTGAGTATTACAAAAGCCACAACACAACAAACTGGCGCCACATTCAATCTAAATCCGAGCTAAGGAAAAAGCCACAGACCGACAAAGTAGCTCTGAAAGTTTCTTGAACTTGTGAACCGACCACTCATACGCGTGTATACCCGATGTTACGATATTAATTGAGTGAACTGCTTGCGACATGAGGCAATAGTACGCCCGTACTCGCATATATGTAGGATAATTCACTTGAAATGTTTACACAGACAATAATCCGTCGCGCAAGGCGAATAAATTGAAAGATATATATGTACATACGTATGAGGGGATGAGTGTATGGGTATGTGGAAATCGTCTGGAGACACATGAGAGAGATTTACGTGGAAAAGAGACAAACAAATAAATTTAGTTTGATTGAATAATGGTCGCATAATTGGCAACTTGAATGGAATTGAGTAGCAGGCAAAACCCAATTGAAAACCGTAACAATAAATGCACTCAAGAGTAGACAAACCAAAAAATAAGGAAAAACGAAGTGAAATATGCCCGTACAGCCTACGGGTACTCGTATTCGTATTCGTATTAACTAAGTGAATTGGATAATCTCATTCTCATTCTTGAAGCGCAGACTGTTGACTCAACAGGAGAATTCACTTGGCGTCGCGTCGTCGCTCTTGCCTTTACTTGTCTTGTCTAAGATTTCTTTCAATTGAAATGTGCAACTGAGAAATGTCAGGCGGCAATTGTCAACTAGATGGATGCGATTGGATATCACGCAAACGCCGTGTTAGACGACGACACTCAATCGCATAAAGGTGCGGGCAGGGGCCCCAGCGTCACAGCGCGATTGCAGTTTATTAACCTCGCAGGCGAATGAATCATCATCTATGAATTATCATCTGTGAGTGGAGCAAGTGAATCGAGCTGGAAGATTGAGCAGCATTCAAGGTGTGCTAGACACAAGGTGGAGTTGGAGTGCATTTGAGTGGAGTGTTGCTGCAGCCAAGAAGTGTGTCAATTAGATGAATGAGTGAGTGTTGGGTTCGTTCTCCAATTCCAGTTTGTCTGTTAACTTAGAGAGCGCCCATTGGGAGCTACTTCAATTTGGCTTCTCTCTCTGTATTTAAACGGAGAAAATGTTCCTTAAATGCCAGCTAAAAGTCCTCTAGCCAGGCGCCACTTTGCACTCAGCTAGTCAGTAAAACAATTTCACAGCCTCAGCCATAACCTCTGCCATGCTCCATGCTCCCCCTCTTTGTGCTTGAGGCCTGTGTGTGTCGTGTGTGTCGTGTGTGGGACATGCGCTAAAATTTCATTTGATTTGACACTTGGCAGTGGCTTTTAGCGCTACTTTTACAGCATAACCACACGAGTATCTCTCTGTGTGTGTGTGTGTGTGTGTGTGTGTGTCTGGTTGTGTGTGGTTTCCCACTTATTAAGGACTTCCTGTTTGTCCGATTGTCGACAACTTTGTCGCGACAACAGATTCATTTAGCGGCCACTGCAGTTCAATTTAACACCCGCCGGACACAAATATTTCTCAACCTTCCCATACCCCCTACCGACTGGATTTGTCACTCTGTGTGTGTGTGCTTGTGTTTTTTTTTTGCAATTTTTATTTCAATAGAATTTAATCTTTAATTGTTTTCGATTTTTGTTTTTGTTCGTTCAGTGTCTTAATATACAATAATACATACATACATAAATATAAATATAAACGTAAATTAAATAGTGCTTAGTTCTTTGCCTGCAGCGCTTAAGTATCGTTAATAGTTAATCGTAAGTGTTATATCGTAGATATGTGACAACAGTTTTACGAGTACCAACTCTGCGAAACACTCTCTTGGGTTATCCATTGCAGAGGAATTTATCTCAAGCAGGGACTATTAGAGACAATTTCTAAATAAATGATATAGATTTCTGAATCTGTGATTATTCGTCTATGGGGTGCAGTTCGCCCTTGGAAAATGTTCTTGAAGTATTTAAAGGTTTTTTTATATTAGGCTTATATCATTTTCTGAATAGCTACTAACTATAAAGTTTAATAGTAACAGAACAAAGTTAAAATCTCTTTTTCAAGGAAATATATATAAAAGAAATCATTCAAAGATAAACCCTACTGAAGAATGATCTTTCTGAGATGTTTCATCGAAATATTCGTGAAAAATTTTGCTCGTAGTTTTCTCTGTTTTTATAATGAACTTTTTACCATCTTCTTCCATGAATCACAAAGTTTATTCCTTTTGAACGAAAAACCTCTACAGAAATCGAATAACACCTTCTCCGCTCTTCTCCTCTCCTCTTCTCCTCTTCAACCCATATCATTCGCACATCCCTGCACATCTTCAACTCTGCAACGGTTATGCCATATTCGATTCAACCGAATTCCTACTGTACCCATCCTGGTTTCTCTATATACAAGCGTCTAGCGCCTCAGTCGCGGCTATTTCTATGTACAATCAATACTTAAGCTATACCAACTCAAGACTCCATCCATCTGCCGAGAGAAGGTGATATGGTGAGCCGCCCACCTACCGCAACCCGCTCGCTCCTTCAGCTATTGCGCGAGACAACGGTGACCGGATTGATCAGCGGCTGTGGTGAGGGACCTGGTGAGTCGCCGCCGCCTCCTCCTCCGCCGCCGCTGCCATGGAGGTGGCTGGGCGACGAGGGCGGCTGCCCCAGATGTGTCATATGTGGCTGCGGTGCCGTCGCCGCCGCCGCCGCTGAGAGCTGTCTTTGATGTGCCGCCAGAGCGGCGGCTGCCGCATGTTGATGCAACAGCTGTTGGTACTGGAGGCGCTGATAGAGCTCGTTGCCTGTCGGCGGCACCCCGAAAGGAGGCGGTGGCAATCCCTGGCCCGGGCCAGGTCCTGGCGGAGGCGGCGGCATGCCGGGCAGTCCGCCGGGTCCGCTCTTTGGCGCAAAGGGATTGTAGCGCTGGTACATGCTGGCCAGCAGACTGGGCGCCGATGGGGGATACGTGAGGAACTGTCCGAATTGGGGATAGGCCGCCAGACTTGGGAACATGGGTCCAATCAGCGATCGCTTGAAGGCGGCCAGGCGGGAGCGGGACGCGGCTGTGGTGCGCCTCCGCAGCTTCCCAGTGGATCCGCCAATGAAGACATCCTCCGCCGACGGATCGAGCATCCAGTAGTTGCCCTTGCCGGGATCATCGTAGTGCCGGGGCACCTTCACGAAGCACTTGTTGAGGCTGAGATTGTGGCGGATGGAGTTCTGCCAGCCCTGCTTGTTGTCCCGGTAGTAGGGATGGTTGGTCATGATGTACTCGTAGATCCCGTTGAGGGTCAGCCGCTTCTCCTGGCTCTGGCGAATGGCCATCATGATGAGGGCATTGTAGCTGTAGGGGGGCTTCTCGTTGCCCTTCTTATCTTTCACGGGTTTGCCATCGCTGGACTTGGTCTCCGCATCCCCGTCGGTGGTTTCACCGTCACCATCGCCATCGGCATCGGCATCACAGTCCACATCTTCGTCGACGTCGTCGCAGTCGTCCACCTCATCCACATCGCTCTCGTTGTTGGTGACAGCCGGGGCCGGGGACATCGACGTGACATCCAGATCCGACTCCACATCGCTCTCCGGATCGTGCTCGTCGTTGCCCCAATGCGTGGCCACGGGATTATTGTTATTGTGGTTGGGCAGAAACTTCGACTGATGGAGGCTCTCCTCGGTCTTGTCCTCCTCATCGTCGTCGTGATGCTCCAGGGTCTCGGGCAGTATGGCATTGATCGAAAAGCTGGACTTGAGATGCGGCGTTCTGGCCATTTTCATCAGATTCGTGAGATTAATACCGACGGGATGCGGATGCGGATGCGAGTGATGCAGCGGATGCGAGAGCGGATGGTGATGCGCAAGCGTGGGCGTATGGTGGTGATGATTGTGGGCGCTGATCTCGGGGAGACCATCAACGATCTTCACCATTTTTGCACAGCTGCCTGCTGCTGCCGCTACCAGTTTTACCCAACAACTACAATGAACAACAGCAATGTCATTATATGTTCCAGATTCTTATGCTCAAAATCAAAATCAAATTCAAATTGGCTCTGGTTCTGCTCTGCGCCTCGTTAAGTCTGAGACTGAGATTTCGTTACGTTCAGTTTTGCCGACGCGAGACGACTTTCTGGGTTCGTCGTCGTATGAGATCTCTCACGTCCGTTGCTCGGTCGGGTTTAGTGTAGACTAAAAACAAGAATTCCCAATATTCCATTCCACTGCTGCGGGCGGGTCGGGTGACTGTGCCTGTGCCTGTGCTTGTGCTGTGTGTTTTCTTTACCGCTTTCTGGTCGGGGGATGTTCGCAGTCGACCAATCGCCGCTGTGGAACGGCCCAAACAGAGAGAACCTCTTTATAGAGAGAGAGAGAGAGACATGACACATGTACGAGTACGTGTACGAGTGTGTGTACGAGCGTGTGTACGAGCGTGTGTTCGGGTATTGTGGGTTGCATTTTGATACGCTATAATAATACTTCTCTCCCTCTCTTTTTGCTCTTTTAAATTGGCAGCTGCTGCTCTCGGGTATTAGTCTGCCCTCTCTGGTTGTTGCTGTGCCTGTCTCTCGTTGTCGTTGTTGCTGTCGTTGTTGGTGTTAATGTATTTCTTGTTTTTACACACAGTTTCCATTATTAATTGTATCCCAGATTTTTGTTTGCCCGCTTGCCCCCGTTAATTTTTCGCCAGTTTGGATCGTATTGTATGCATGGCGGACCGATGAAAGGGGGTTGCCATCGGAGTTAAATATGGTCACAGATTTGCGACATTCGGGTGTGGGTAGGGCTAAAGACTGATGTTCATTAGTTGGCATTATAGAAGAGATCTTGTCGAGGGAACTATAATCTTTTGAAATTATTATACAACGTTGAGTTTTAACTGGAAAACATTTTGATGATGGATTTGATTTCAAAATTTGTATGCAATTTCTAATGAACCAACATGTGTGTTTATTTTAGGTTATTTTATATTTTTATTTGTTTACTTACTACTCGTATTCGTCTTTGTACTTGGAGCACTGCTTATGGTGGAATTTTGGTGAAATTAAATCTAACAATTGCTTATAACTATTAGAACTCTACAAAATGACGAAATTGCTAAAATGATTTCCTCGAATTGTTGTCGATTTATTTACTAAGTAATATAATTATCAAAAATTGCAGTCTTACTTGGAAAATTGCTTTTATTATTTAATTATCATAAGAAATGTGTGTTCCCTCTGAAAAACGAAAACAATTCCAAGTAATTTAATATTTTTCTTCAAATATAACTCTACATTTCCTTGGTAGAATGAAGTAAATCAAATATGAGCCAACGTTTAAATGTAATTTGTTGCAATCAATTGAAGGCGGGGAATTTTCCAGAACAGAACTGCAAAATGAAAAGCAGCTGCTGCCATTCGCATGAGCCACACACACATGCCACATCCATCGGTGCGGTGCGGTGCGGTGCGGCAAAGAACCCATCCACAAGAGCCACTCCCCAGCCCAGCCGAATCCAAACGAAACGAAACGAACCGAACCGAACCAAAGCGAACCGAACTCAAAATCGAAATCATTTCTGTAATCATAATAATTGTTTTCACAAATTGGGGGCGTGCACTCGTCCGCAGTTGTTGTGCCAGCCAGCCCGATTGGAGTCCGCACCCCCTCCCCATCACACTCTGGTTCCACAGGCAGCGCAATATATCTCTATAAACTATAAAGGGGGAAGAAGGAAGGAGGAGGACGGAAAACTTGTTTTACCTGAATCATGAAAAAAGTGCAGCCGAAACGAAAGACGAAGCCAAAGACGAAGACGCCATGTTTGTATACCGCGTATCGATGGCCTAACGGAATGTGGTTGGAATTTGTCTGTGTGTGTGTGTGTGTGTGTGTGTGTGTGTGTGTGTGGTCGGTCTCCACTCGTGTTTTTGCTGGTGTATAAGTGATGCGGCCACAACTTATTGGACGCCCCACCAGTGGAGACATGCGCTCTCAGAGCACGCTCTCTTGGAGAGCCCCCAATGAAGCCCCATCCCAAGCGTATTGGAAGGGGGGATTCCACATATCTACGGGGGGGCTGTTCAAAACAAAATGGCGCCTCACCTCAAAGGCATTTTAATTATTGCCCCTCGACCAATTTCAATTGATTTTTTTGCCCCATTGTTTGGCCTGTCTTTCAATTAAATTATTTATCATTGTTATTTTTCCCTGTTTTTCCCTGTTTTGTAATTGTTTTGGTTGCTTTGAATATAACTTTGATGGCGTTTTCCCTTTGTGAAAAACTATTCAAACTAAACGAATGGTCAGCTATACACAATTCTAGGGGATATAATAATTATGGGTTTGTTATAAAATTGTCGGTTTTATTCCTTATGCATTATAGAGATGTTAGAAAAAAGAGGATGTCATATGGGACATTTGACATGTCTTTAGTATAATTGTGGCATTATTTAATATTTATATTGTAAGAGAGGGGAATATTGTGTCGGTTTTTAAGTGATACTCAAAATGGTCTATTAATAATTTATATGGGAACATCGATTGTCAATGTTCCAAAGTGTATAATTGATGAATATTTATGGTAATTATTGGTTAATTAAGTAAGTAAATTAGGACCTTTATTTTACATATATTACTCTTATTTAATTCCTGAAACATGCATCTTAAGCGGGACATATGCACTCCTATCTATGTGAAATTACACTAACTCTTACTCTTACTTTTAATATTTTACCACAAATCAAATAACAAACAAACTGTACGACAATCTCTATTGCTTAGAGCTTCCCGACAATCCGGAAACTACAGACTGGACCTGGACCGTAATTACCCCGTACAAACAAAATTCCCACAAAAACCTCGTCCACTCGTACGTGAAAAACGAAAAAAAAAAAAAAACCAACTTGTCATTGATTAAAACGCTGAAAAGGCGACAGATTTGCGAAGGCTACCGTATCGGTAGAACATCAAATAAATGTATGTGAGCGAGTGAGTTGAGTGTCTGATCCGCCAGGGGATTTGGATGCGATGCGGATTGACAAGAGTGTCCCAGAGTCGGAGAGTCGGGGGCGAGAGTACTTTACTAATCAGCCAGATTTATAGCAGGCATTTAGTTTTGTTCGGGCCAAAACTTTTGATATTTGCACGCACACTGCATTCCAGTCCATTCCATTTCAGTGCCAGCAATGGGAGAAATTTGCTGAAATAAATCCGCGGACAGGATAACCCTTTGCGGGCTGGAGTTCTCAACCCGTTCGGCCGTAAAGTTGGTACGCCCCGTGGAACGCCCGAGCCATGTCCTTCCGGGTACGAGTATGCCTGTATTTTGATAGACTCAATGGCAGTTTAACCGCAGGATTAGCTTGTTTGTCCAACGGATCAGGGCGATGCATGCAAACAAGGTCCCAGAACCAGAAGCAGAACCAGGACCAGAGCCAGGATCTCTGCAGACAGATCTGCAGATTCCGCTACCTAAGTGGATGTGTGGGTGGATGGAGAGGTAGCTGAACGGGTTAAGGATCGCTACATCCACCGCCGTTCGCTTCCGTTGTTTATATTGTCTGTTTACATGGCCACACAGTCAGCGATCCTCAGATCCCTCGAGCAGTGGCAGTGGCCAGTACCTACCCACACACCCACACACGGCTACCGTTTCGAAAGAGTTAAGCAAAGGATTAGATCGATGTATGGATTTAGCGTCCTGAAGGGGACTTAGCTTAGCGCGTATTAATCTCATTTCGTGGACCTCAAGCTGTGTGCTCGGACACGACCTCATCTTTGCCCTTGTCCATGTCTTGGCGTTGCTTTTCCTTCTAATCGCCGTCGCTTAGCCATGCAAATATTTTCAATTTCGGATTTGTCTCGATTAAAAGGGAAAAAGGGTTAAACCTCTCGCTGCTCAAGCACTCGGCTTCTGGCCCCTGGCCTCTGGTGACATCTGATTCTGTTTTAAGCGTGTTAACCAGTTAACAAAATATGTATTTGTTTTCCAACCGAGTCTACGAGTTTTCCATTCCTCCATTCGCTGTGGCGCACTTTCAAGGGGGGCGCTGGTTCTTCCCGCTGGGGTGGGGTTGGGTTGGGTTGTTGGGTATTTCTCTCTCATAAATTGGCCCAATTTCGTTGAAATCACGTTCACGGACTGTTTCAGGACTCGGACACACTTGTTTCCGTTGCTGCTGTTGTTGCTATTATCGTGTGTTTCGTTTTGCAAATAAACAGCCAAATGAGTGTCCTAGAGGTCGCCTTGAGTACAGCAAAAGGGTGCGCAGTGGATGCCATGAGGGACCAGGCTGTGAGAGCATATGGTTAGCGGGGAAAACAGCAGGGTGATGAGCCGGAAACAAGGATTTAGAAAAAAGGAAACTTTCAGTCTGGTTGGTTGATAAGTGCGCTATATCAGACGAAACGGATTTGGATTGGTAATGGAAGAACATTATCGGATGTCGGATGAAGATCAGCCAGAGATAGGAGTGTGGCCAGATGGTGGAAAATAATTAAATGCAATATAAATATTGAAAGCTCTCTGAGTGTAAACAATGCCGAGAGGTTTTGCAGAGGTTTTTATAGCTCGGATAATTTTGATCAAAGTATTTAAAAATCTCATTAAATTCTGAGAAACACAAATGCAAATTAATATGGAAATTGTGTTGGGTTTCTCTTACTGGATCACGGTCACGTAGCGCATCAAGACAGTCACCAAGATATATCCCCTAAAAAATCTACACACTACCCACTCCCACCCTTCTGGTGGCAGTGGCCGTCGCCCATCCCCTTCCCCTTCGCTTCGGAGTAACACTTGATAATTGTTGACAATGTGTTATAAACTGATTTACACGCATTTAACGCAAACGAAAACGAAAAGAGAAACATTGCCAAAACTCACGCAGCGCCAACAGCAACACCAAAAAAAAAACCAACACGAGCAACACGAGCAACATTAACAACCCACAAAACGTTGACAAAGTCGAATCGAGTCGAGTCGAGGCGACACTCGTCAGCGACATCGTTAAGGGCAACAGCAGCAGCAGCAGTGGCAGCAGTGGCAGTGGCAGATTCAGCAACGGAAGAGGGGAGAAACAGCAGCAGCAGCAGCAGCAGCAACCGCTTAGATGTCATCGTTAGCGCTGGCGGAACGGGAGCAGGGAGCGGGGAGCGGGTTGCGGGAGTGGGAGCGGTCGCGTGTGCCACGCGAGGGTGGCACACAACTTCAAGGGG